CTTGAGAGACAGTCATTTAAATTTGGGTATGTCATTTTAGGCATGTTTTGCTACAAAATGGGGGTGGAGTACCCCTCTTTGGCAACTGTGTAGATTGGTACCATGTCTTTAGCGAGGTAAAAAGTTATTGGATCTTTGATTTCTCTATGCCGTTTGGACTTTTTATTGCAAGGTGCTACATTGGCAAAGGCATCTGTAATTGTTTCTCCCTCTTGCATGTCGCTCATTTTCAGTGTGTGACTGCAGCGTGTTCATGAGAGGGGGAGGGGCTGCAGAGTGCTCAGAGAGGGAGAGACAGCAAGAGAGAGAGAGGCGACCAGAGCGGAGCAAGGAGCTTTCTTCAGAGCTGCTTTTCTGAAGCAAAACAAAAGTTAACATTCTGAAAAAAGAGAAAACATTGTATGTCCTGCGATGTGACTACCGTACATGAGCACATCACGATGGCGATGTTCAAACGATATATCGTGCAGCCCTAATTGGGAGGTTGACACAGCATGTTTACGTAAGGGTTAATGCCCGACGAGGTGTCCATTATCAGGAATTAATGGACGACACGGAGTCGTGAACCATCCGACGCGAAGTGGAGCTTCCGCGAAGTCCATTAATTCCTGATAATGGACACCTCGAAGGGCATTAACCCGCTTATACCATGGTCACTTACCAAAGAAATGAATATTTAATCAATTATTTATGCTTTAATGTGTTTAACAGTTATGAGATATTATTCAGAAGATGATTATTTCAGAAAGCCAGTGCACTTCTTACTGCTTGTGTGTTACAGACTCTGGTGGTCAGAGGATGACGTGCAAAAAAAAACCTTGAGATATTACTTTCATGATTCATTGGCATTCATTTATAGGCCCAAGAAGATTTGTTTCAAATAATCAACATCCAAATAGTAGGCTAGTCAAAATCGTTTTTAATTGCATCAAATAATTCATAAGCATATAGTAGTCGAGATTAAATCATAAAGACACATTAACAAATTAACGATTGTTTCCTATTTAAAATTAAATGCTACATTACCATTAATAGTGAAATTTGAAAGTGATATGGGTATGTCCATCATAGTGGCATTTGAAGGTCGGAGATTGACAGATTGAGCACTGCTTGTTTGGACATTTGGAGACGAGAAGATGTTGCTTCAGTCTCGTCTCTCCTGCGCTGACTGAGCCCAATAAGCCTGCCGGCTGCTCTCACACCGATGTCCCTGTGACGGTCATGATCGGAGTTTCCAGGCTGGCGTCAGAGAGCCGACCTACAGCTGTGCTCTGGAGGCTGTCATCAAAATGATCAAATTCACGAAATAAATGAAATCAAATGATAAAATCACTCATGATGCCTGTTGTAATCCGTTTCCTCTGCTCTGAGTCTCCGTTGCTATGGTTACAAACTAGCAGTTGAGCCAGCGCAATAATTTAGAACCTGTCATCAGGCAATTTGACCGGAACGTCTTTTTAGCTGTCCTATAACACCTTTTAACGGACACCCTGCAGCCAATCAGAATTGAGTATTCACCCAGACCATGGTATAAATTCTGTTTCCTAACAACAGTCAGTGTAGTTTCTTCTAACCTTGACAACAACAACAATCTACCAACCCGGTTGCCAGAAGGGAAAAAAAGGCATTTTGTGTTTTTGCAAACCACGGATACAATACATTTATTTATTATGTAGTAAATACATTGAAACTTTATGTTTCATCGGTGCTGTGGTTACCATGTGGTTAGGTATAGGCACAAAAACCACTTGGTTACAGTTAGGAGGTCATGTTCTGAATTAAAATACCTGGTTTGGGGGCCCCCAATTCCAGCTGGAGGAGCAGCAATGTCTTGGTAAAAAAATGCTTTACATGCCTAAAAAGCTGCTGGAAAGACAGAAACTACTCACTAAGTCACCACCTCTTTTGTTGTTTGTTGGTCTTGAAAAATGGTCTGCAGTTGTCTGCAGCTTGGCAGGCGTCTCGCATAGGTGACACACCATCGATCCTCTCCACCTCCCATTGACAAAGTCAGCTTATACCATGTCACTTACGATACGTTGATCTGATATGTATGAAATGTGCAAATGTAAGGTAGGCTATTTGCAAAAATGCACAATGGCCACTGAGCTGAATCTACAGTCATCATTCTGGGAAAAAAAAATATGCCAAAGTTTATCCTTTAGGAAGGGATCTTTGAATTACCAGTGTGAACAAGAGAAATTATTACAGCAAATATTAAATCTGACTATTGTTGTAAGGTGGTGTCAGACAGACTTGAAAAATTGTGAGCCTGTCCTTTGACCTCTTCCAGTCCCCAAGGACAAAGATGTCCTCAGCCGACTGTACTGTCTGTCAGAGGCTGAGTGAGTTCTAAAGCTAGAATGAAGATACTGGTATCATATGAAACTAGAAGACCTGAAGAATCCCCTGGTATTCATTGTCATGCTAGTTTGTCAGTGGATAGGGGGTTAAATAATGCTGCAAATTTAGGCAAAATTTTAAACTGGCATGGCTAATTTCTAGGGTTGTAGTCTCCTGGTCGACTGGTCAATTGTCGATATGCTCTTGTCTGACCAAATTCTCATTGGTTGAATAATCGCCGTGTTACTTTCATAAGGAGAAAAGTGCTACATCAACAGCTTTCCAGGATTAATCCATTATTTCCTGCGGCGGGGGGACAGGCTAAGTTACCTGTGAAAATGGGGGTGTTTTCAAAACACCCCCACTGTTTACACTACGTTGAACTCACCCACCGAGCGTTAGGGTGGGCACGCGGCGACACAGACCTCCTGTCTGTTTCTGTATACTGAAACCATTTCCCTCAGTGGAAACAAAGCTTGTATTTACTTTTGATTCACAGATAAGAAACAATAAATTGTGAAGACAGTAAAGCCTCCACTAAAATAGCATTTTAAGCCGTGTGTGTGATTTATCCTTCAGGGATTTATACTTCGGGATTTATCCTGGCTTCATATGAGCAGAGGAAATCTCCGCTCATCGCTAGACTAATTTATACCATGTAAAATGCCATAGGCTGGCGCTAATAGCGTTAGCATGATGTACTTGCTTGGAAAACATGTTTAGTATAAGACAGCTGTTTTGTCTGTGAATGTTGTGAGTTGTAATGGAGCCAAATTATGTACCGTTATCTTTGTTAGATGTCGCTATTGTCCCTGGTTTTATATGAGAAGTGCGAAAGATTAGAATTTATACAATGTAAAATGCCATAGGCTTGTGCTAATAACGTTAGCATGTTGTATTGGTGGGGGAAATGTGTCCAGTTAAATACAAGTGTTTGTGTGTCATTTCTGTGATTTATAGTTAAGCCAATTTGTGTACTTGTGTTTGAAATTGTCTCTATTAAGCCATATTTAATGTGTGTTTTGAATCAACTAAACAGCACTTAACACAGTCCTCCACCACTGACCAGCATTTTGGAGGTAGAACTGCAGAGTGACACAGACACAACACCGCAGAAGTAAAAATAATGTGCAGATTTTTTTCCCCACGACTAATCAGTTAGTTGAAGATTATGTACGACTTCAGTCGACCAAGATTTTCTTTTGTTGACTACAGCCCTACTAATTTCAATAGGGGCCCTTCAACTCAATATGAACCTCAAGATAGCTGAATGAAAATGGGTTCTATGGATACCCACGAGACTACCCTTTACAGACATGCCCACTTTCTGCTAGTACCAGGCAGTTTTTGGCAAAAAGCATGCCTTATTTCTTATGCAGTGCAGAGTTGTTATTTTTGCCTGTTGTATTTGAATATTTCTGCATACTGGCTTCCCTAAACAGTCTTGGAATTGCTGCAGTTGGGTATAGCTGAAAAAGCTGAGACTCTTGTGGATTCAGTGAGCTCAACTGAATTCATGTGTTAGTCCCCATAGTATCCATTTCATTGTTGTGAGACTACTTTTTTTAAACTTGACATCACTGAATAAAATGACCTGTTGTGACCTCTGGGATAATACCAGCTTCATAAAACTTTACAAGACCTCAGGCATTGAGAGGATGGATGGCTTTCATGGGAATATTGACAATAAGGTTGTTTCTCAGCAGTTTTCCAGAACAGAGGTGCTCGCCATCCAGTAACCTAAAAATGCAGTTCTCACAGAGATCTCCAAACATAAAAGTTTTTGATACCAAAAGCATAATAATGGATTTTTCTTTGTTATTCCTCAAGGTTTTGGTATCTCAATGTGGCATTTTGGAGGGATTTTAAGCATTTTTATCAATTCTCCAGTGGTCAAAAATGCTTAAATTTAGCACCAAATCTGGGTAATAAATTGTATCAACCCAAAAATTGCTGCAACAACCAAAGAAGCATAATCAAGCATGGGAATGGCCATCATATTGTTTTCCATTATAATGTTCTAAGCCCCTATAGACTCTAAACTTTCAATATTTATTACGTATTCATGACCAGAAAAATTGCAATCATTTTTCTCATGGTCATATGTTAACAGTTTTAGTAGGCACTGGCAAACAACATATTTAGCTACTTTTTTGCAGCTAGTGCTTAAGAAACCCTCTGAATTTCAATCAAGGATTTTTTGTGCATCAAAACTCATGCAAAGTATACACTGTGGCCAATTACTTGGTCTTCAGTGACAGCCAGATGTCTTGGACTTTGGCTGGTACTAATAGTTTTCCTGGTTTCACTATCTGGTTTTGTTACCGTCTGTCCTGCATCTCTCTCTGTCTCTGTCTCATTGTGTCATACGGATTACTGTTAATTTATTATGTTGATCTGTTCTGTACAACATCTATTGTATGTCTGTCCATCCTGGAAGAGGGATCCCTCCTCAGTTGCTCTTCCTGAGGTTTCTAACTTTTTTTTTTTTTTTTGCCCATTAAAGGGTTTTTTTGGGGGAGCTTTTCTTTATCCGCTGCGAGGGTCATAAGGACAGAGGGATGTTGTATGCTGTAAAGCCCTGTGAGGCAAATTTTGATTTGTGATATTGGGCTTTATAAATAAAACTGATTGAATTGAACTGATTGATACTACAGGTGGTGAAGATTAACGTGTGCTACTGGAAAGAGAAGGTTCCTGGATCATACAACGTGAAGCAACGCTTTCCTTGCTTCTTGATGACTGAGGGCAAGGAAGCCAAAGAGCACATCTATGGTCTTCCATCCAACGAGTACCCAGGCCTGGTGAAGGTATGTCACAATACTGAACCCTGAAGTGTGACTATACAGAGGAGAAACTCTACACTCTGTACAGACCCCTCAAATATTCATGGTAATAACATAAAGTAGACTTTATTAATGATCATTTATTTTATGATGCAGTTTCAGCTATTAGCTTTTCTAGTTGATCATTTGACTTCATTATTCAGTATTAGCATCTAAACAAGTACTGTGTGTGCACTAAAGCAAGACTTTTTATCAAATTAAGATATATACATACACTGAAGCACTAACTTAGCCTGGTTCCAGACCATAGACCCCACCCGCTCAACTGAGTAGGCTTGCATTACTGGTCTGGCATACTTCAGTGAATTTGCGATTTATCTCGTTCAAACGATGGACAGACAAATGAACGCTGGGGGTCTAGCAATTAGCCAATCAGCGCCACACTGATGTCAAGCTGTGCGCCGGTGGGTAACTGGTGAGGATTAGAGATGGGATTTATGGCTCTTTGAGGGGAGCCGGATCTTGGTGAGCCGTTCCTTTCAAAGAGCCGTTCAAAAAACTGGCTCATTTGACTGATTTTTATATTTATTAAGTTTTAAGAAGCCAGCCTGGTGGTAACTCATTTTATTTTGGAAATAATCACTGGGAGGTATGATGGGGTAAAATTTGGAACAAAATAATACAAAATTAGATATCCCACCAATATCTGAGTTTGAATTATTCTGAAATATTGATTATAACCTCATTTGACATGTGTGGACTAGATTTTAAAGTCTGATCTGGATTCATTGTAAATATTCCACAAGGTTGCGCCCTATCACTCTGCTTTGACAGTGACATCACTATTTTAGATTTACCCTTTATACAAATTGTTTGTACGTGTGTAAAGCTACCATGACTTGTTATTCATGCAACACCGTGACCTTAACACTCAAAATAAACATTAAAAAACAAAGCAGGCTACAATGAATTTTGCTCAGGGGAGGAGCAAAGGAGGAGCACACAGTGATATTAAAAAAAAAAAAAAAAAAAAAGAACGGTTCCCAGCTGCGACTCGGTTCCCATCGTTCATGTTAACAAGCCGTTCAATAGAATCGGTTCGTTCGTGAACGTCACAACACTAGTGAGGATAGCAACAATGGCGACCGCTACAGATCCTACAGACCACATTAACGATGCTATCAAGGTATTTCGCCACTACTCGCATTAATGGCGGACCAAATTAAGGAAGATGCTAAACTGGATTTAACGGCGATGCAGCTGGGCGTGCACGACGACGGAGACATTTTAAACGGGCAGTGCTCGCTTGTTTTCGGCACCCCGGAGGCATGGATACTAATGACGTCAGCTTCTGGGTGAGTCATTGATCTCTACCGATTGGTTAGGGAAAAATCAAATTCCCTCCCCCTTGTAAATCGCCTTCAATGGAAGCCATGTCAGACTGAAGGTTCTGGGAGCTTCAGTCTGACACTCAGGCTAGCACTAACTTCTGAAAGATTACCATAGCATGTGGTGTCTTCTAACCATAAAAGTGCTTTGCTAACCAGCAAACAGTAACATATTTCAAATGTAGAAATACGTTTTTGTGTGATTTATCAAAATGACCCTGTTTAGCTTTAGACTGAAAAACAATACAAAAAGAAACAAATTTAATATAGCCGCAAGGTGCAATTCCAGATTTTAGGCCAGCATGGACCTGATCTCTGGAAAGCTGGGTAGGACCAAGACCTTTGACAGTTTACAACACCTGCATTAAGAATAACCAACAGGTTTTTTTGATGATCGGACAGATGCTTATTCATTTATATCCAAATCTGTGCTGGCAACACTGATACTTCCCATTGGTCAACTGCAGAAAGCTTTTGAGCACAGGCTTCAATAGCTTAGTTAAAAATATAAGTTGATAAAAGTTTGGTGTACAAACTGCCATTGACTTATGGTCAAACTTCTGTGAAAGGCCAGTGCAATAATTTGGAACTATTGAGCGATTTCAAAATACTTTTACACAGTATTCAGTGTTATTATTCAACAACAAGACAAACAATTTGATTGGCCAATTTGAATGAAATTTCCAGGGTATATTGTAAGTGACTTATGTGGACATATGCAACAAGTTTCCTGATGATTGGCCCCAGTGGTTGTGAAGTTGGAAAATAAACCTTTTTCAAGTAGCATGTTTTTGCAAACTGCATAAGGTTTTTCTCCAGGATTGGAAAGCCTGATGCAGTGATTTGTATGTTACGTTTGAAATTATTTTGTGCTATTTTAAAATTAAAGGGAAACTATACCAGTTTTCAAAATTAATACATGTTATTCCTATGGTCTATAAAAGTCAAAAAAATTGAATAAACATAAACAACTATCTCCAAAATCCAAAAAGTAAATCGCTGAAACTCAAATTTGTGATCGCATCATTCTGCTTGGAATGTTACTTTTGGGAACCATATAACTGGTGGTACAATTTCAGTCCATTTTAAAATAAAAGCAATGCTGCAAAATTAACTGTAAAATATGATTTGTCCTCCCTCAACATTAGATTAGTTGTGGGAGTTGTGCTGGGTTTGATGTCATCTGATGGCACATCTCTATTTTGGGCATTATGGCGGGCCAGCAGGAGCTCACAGCCTAATAGCAGAACACATGCATGGAAGAGAGGGGTGGACAGATGGTGATGCCACGTCACATTATTCACTCTGAGACACGAGTGAGTCACTAGAGCTACTGTATGACCATTAACATAGTTTGAAATAAAACCCCGAATGAAGCAGAGAGGAGTTTGCTTTTGTTGTTATTTTTACTGCATGGACCTGACTGAAAGTTTTCTAAATCAGAAAATCCTGTGGATAAAAATAAAAAACTGCAGCTCTTTTAAATCCTCAGCCTCCTCGCTGTGCCTCTAGTCTCTGGTGACACTGTATGTGTCAGACCTGGCTGACAGGAGCAGCACACAAAAGCAGCTTTGGAAGTGTGGAGTGTGTGTCTGACAGTCACTCCTCCTTCCCTTTTGTCACTTACCTTTGAAGCTAGCAATAGGGGCCTAAATAAGTAACATACATGTGTAAAACAAATCATCTGTAGCTGTACATGAAACAACTAATGACTCCCTGAAAAAGCCTCATTCAGCACTGCACAAACAGAGCTGTGGGACTCTGCCTTAATACCATATTGCTGTGTACTTTAAAAGAGTTGTTTTTCTGACTCAGGCTACTGAGGCCCTGCGTTTAGATTTAGTGAGCATTTTGGTGTGGATTAGGGGGAGGAGGACAACTTGAAGCATTAGTTTCATTTAATGACTGTTTTCTTGCACACCTGAATGTCTAGTGTGTTGGATTTAGTGGCATCTAGTGTTGAAGTTGCAGATTACAACCAACTAAAACGTCTCCCACATGTACAGTAGGAGAACTACTGTAGCCGATGCTAAAAATGCAAATGGTCCTGTCTAGAGCCAGTGTTTGGTTTGTCCTCTCTGGGCTACAGTAGAAACAACATGATGGAGTTAGTAAAATAGGATCAGGCCTAGAGGAAATGCGCTGAACTTTGAAGCCAGTTTGAGAGAGGCTGGCCAAACTGTGCTCTTGTATTTTACGTCGTTTTTATAGTTAAATTCTTTTATCTTATTGTATAAACATGCTCTCAATTTAGCCCTTTTGCACTAGCAAGGATAGCTACCCCATTTTGTTTTATTTGTGCAATGATAATTAAGGTCTGCCTACCTACCCATTGACCTACCTACCAACCTACCCACCCACAACTTCTGGGTCTGTCATGTGATGCCTATTGGGAAATAGGTGTCTGTAAATAAGTGGATGCCTTTTTTTTGAGCATCACATCCCCTGCAAATGACTCATCTTATGTTTCCAGTTTAATATGACTGATATAAGCACACCTTAAACAGCACAGAAACATTAACGTTAATGTTGTTCTTACTGAGAGTGCAACTCATTGCACATCAGCTGTAAAATTGTCAATACAAGAAAGGTTATGGATTCATGGAATTACTTACAGCTGTTGAAGAATCTCTTGCTTTGCTTCCCTGCAACATGACATGATAATCCCGCATGGGGGCTGCTTAAGGGTAAACAGAGTAAAGAGCTCATGGTGCACCTGCTCCTTTAAACAGGAGTGGGTTTGCATTGGACATGTGCTTAAGGAGTTCCAGTCCGTGTCTGTTGGGAGTTATTGTCATGCAAATGATGATGGTGGTGGCAGTACATCAAGGCAGAAATGACACAAAGACAAAAAATGAGTTATGAAATTTTGCTAGAAGTAAATATAAGCATGCAAAAACATGAAATTATAAAAAATCAAATACCAGTACTTCTGAGTTGGATCGTATAATATAATATGAACAAACTACTGCTGCTGCTTTTCATTTGAAGTTTGCAGGGCTTCCAAGCTTATAGTGAACAAGACCGAAATAATGATGTCATTCTGTGTGCAGATATGCTACCATATGGGCAGTGAGACCGACCCAGACCAGAGAGACAAGCAAACTGACAGGTCTGATATTGACATCCTGCAGCGCTACATTGCCCGCTGTTTTCCTGGCCTGGTCCCTGAACCTGCTGTGGTGGAGAGCTGCTTGTATACGGTCAGTACTAACACTTACAAAATTACAGTGCTCATAAATGTCATCCTCCCGTCAAAGTGTTAAAGGTAGAGGAATGTGATTACATCTGTGGCTCATCAGGAAATACATCAAAAAAATCAACAAACTGGCAACATTTATTTAATGATATATTTGTTTAAGGCATGAGCTAATGATGAAATTTCAAATGCTTCTATCCAACACGTTCTCAACCAAAGTCGGTATATATTGCTGCTTTGTCAGTGTACTCTCACGTCTACATATTATGAACTGAGTATCCTGCATCTGCATTGGTGCCTGACACTAAAATCACTGACAAAATGGTGGTATCTGAGGTCTTCGGAATGAGAATGGGCTGTTCTATCTTGTTTAAGACATCCCATTGTAACCATTAGCATTTCTATAGTTAGATACAGAAATTAATGATTTTTTTAAATTTCAGACTGGTTTCAAGTTACTCTTTATATTGTTGAAAAATATTAATCATGATATTTTTTATCGTAATACATCTTTAATTTCAGTAACATTAACTAACTATTTTAACAGCTTAGGTATGTAAGTATGAAGACCACTATGAAATACAAAATAAGCTTCTGGCTGTTGGTGACTGATAAGAATGATATCAGTGGATAACGGTTTTTGGTACACTACTTTAAAAAGAACCACCAAAACTCTGATGTTTTTTCCAAACCTCCAGAGAGCCTTTTAATTTAAGTCGCTGCTCTTATGCAACCTGATCTGCAGATTTTTTTTTGGCATTTTGTGTTTCTGCAAATAGCAGAATAGGTAGCAGATACACTGAATGCATTACAACAATGCTGTGGTTATATTTAGGCACAAAAACAGACAAAAGATCACATTTTGTCTTAAAATAGCCAGTTTTTGTGGCTAAAAAGCTGCTGGAAATGCAGTGATGCCTCTTTAAAAAACACCTGATTTTGTTGTTTATTGGTCTTAAACAGTAGTCTGCAACATGACAGGCGTCTCACCCAAGTGTCACACCATCTACCATCCCCTCCGCTTTCCAATGACAAAAGCCCCTTTTACACTGCCTGTTCAGGGCAGTAATATTGCACTGTTATGCTGCCTCGCTGTTCTGTATAAAGGGTACGATCCCGGAATAGAGGGACAGAGTTATCTTGTAGTGTTGCACTACAAGTACTAAAGACAGATGACATCTTACAATTCAATTCAATTTGATTCAATTTTTTTATAAAGCCCAGTATCACAAATCACAGTGTGCCTCAGAGAGCTTAACAGCATACAATATTGCTTTGTCTTTACAGCAAATAGGGAAAAACTCCCCCCCGCAAAAAAATCCTTTAATTACAAACGTCTTATATCAACACAACCCAACATCTTTCTGACATCATTTTGACATCCAGAGACCTTTAATCCTGTTTTCTATACACTGTATGTGTTGTTCTTAAAGCAGCCAGTAACAGGTCTGTATCATCAATTGCAGAGTGTTCAGTTTATTATTGGGCAGTTAAACTGTTAATATACTGTGTGTAATGCGGCCTGTATTTAATTTACTGCTGAATGGCACTCTCCAGTGTCATTCTTAGGTGTTAGATTCTGTGTGTGTGTGTGTGTGTGTGTGTGTGTGTTGCAGGGGTGGGGGGTTGTGCAGCTGCTCTGCCCTCCAGCAACACAGCAAGCTGCTTGTACCACGATCACATAGTGAAGCTGTAGGAAAACATAATTTCTATGACCTTGTCCAATGCCCCTGAAAATCCTGACAGTCACGCTCGTTTCTCACTTAACAGCCAGTGTTTTGTTCTATTACCAGTGATTCTTAAAGGAGGACAGAGATTTAAATTACATGTGTCTCTGCAGCAGTGGTAGAATGTTGACTTATGTCAGATGTCATTATGTATTCTACGATGGACCCTTTCATCCAGTTAAACACATTTTCCACAAAGACTTAAATAGGAATGGAGATGGAGTATGTTTGTCCTTGTCAAATGGTTCTCCGGATAATCTGCAGTGGCTCAGTTCAACATTCATGTCACTATATTGTGGAATGAGGAGGCAGGAGAAAGAAGGCTACAGCACTCTTGACTGAATGTGCACAAAGCGCTTCACTTTCATCTGACAACAGTCAGAATCTGTGAGATCCCAACTCAGCTCTGTGGTTCCAGACCTCAGCAGTTCATACTTTTCAAACCAACAGGTTTGCATCCATGGTTTAAAAACTGACAGCTTGATCAGAGCAGCGTATTTCCATAGAACGGTTCATATGATACCCTGTAAAAAAACGCATGCACAATAGTGCGTATGATATCCTATGAATTAGCACCCCACGAGTTATGTTATGTCCGTAATGTACAGTTACACAATTACCGTTAAGTTACAGAGGGTAGGTTTAGGTAAGTAAAGTTACTGAGGTTAGGTTTAGGAAAAGAAACATGGTGGGGATGAAGCTTAAAATGACTAAAAATTCACATAGTTCCAACACATGCGACTCCCGGGGAAAGTCCCATTGTGACCTATCCTCAAGCCCAACCTGCCTCTTTACAAGACTGATCAGGACTGCTTCCTTGTTCACTCCTGTCAATTCATTGGTCACATGATCACAGCCTTTCAGAAATCATGGCTTATGTATGAATTTGGATGCATTACTTTTCATAGGAAAATATATGAACAGTTTGTGAGAACAGCCTGATCAGAGTGAATCAAATAGTAAAGGTTGCTTCCTTGGTAGGACAGATCTTTCCACGTTGGACCCTGCAGAGGCTAGGCAAGACTCCTTCCTAGCATTCAGTGAACACACATTGACAAAGGCTGGCTATTTCAGCAAATCGTACATGAAAAATTGTGGGTACTTCATGCCCGCTGAGGATACACACATTCATCCTTGGAAATTTTCTAAAGGTAGGACTCAGTCCTCAGTAGAATTTGAAGGATCCTTGACAGTGGAACAGGCCTTTGGCAGGATTCGATGACGTAGCTCCCTTGAAATTCAGCCATTTAAGGATCCGTCTTTGACTTTGAGAAGCATCAAGTTTCTTATAATCTGGACCCTTTCAGTTTTATGTGGAACTTTGCTTGCTTTTTGTGTTCTGTTTACAGCTAACGCCTGATCGTCATTTCGTGCTGGACTGCCACCCCACCTACAGCAACATTGTGTTTGGAGCAGGATTCTCAGGTACGTCACAATACAACACAAATCATCTCAAACCGAATGATAGAAAATTTATGGAAAGGATAATCTATGACAAGCCATGTGAGTGTTAGGGTTGATTATACCACTTTTCACAACACATTACTGCTGTTTATACACATTTTGAGGAGGTAGACACGTAAACCTTATCTTTGTCAGCACTGAATTTAAGGTTCCTATTAGTAGAAGCTGTAGCCTAGTAACAGCTGAACCCAGCAGCCTTCCAGCTGTGAGAATTTATTTAGAACAATTATGAAGACGCTGCATCAGAGCTGTACAGTTATATAAGCCAGACTAACAGTCTCCAGCCGTGCTAAAAGCTCTGTGAGGCTGTACTCAGGCATAGTGTTGTTTTGTGCTTAATGCTAACATGCTGACTATGCCATGTTAACATACTGAGGTTATGTTTACCATGTTCACCTATATAGTTTAGCCCTTTAAAAACAGACATTCCGTGTATGACTGTGGGAAATTATTGTTTGCATGATCCCGTTAAAACCGGTCTAAAATAAGAACCACAATAGCCAGAGCATTTCTTCTTTTGCAGCAGAAAGCTTCTGTCTTCCTCATCATCAAATCATGACCTTACATTACATTACATTACCTTATGTGCCATCCAAACGGTATTTCCCCAGAATTTCCCCCAGGAATTTCCACGCAATAGCTGCAAGCAATCATTGTTTCCATATTCGTGCACATATATCTAAATAAAAACCACAATAGCAAGAGAATTCATTGTGTTTGCAACAGAAAGCTAAAGCTTCTGTCTTCTGTGTCATCATGTTGTACGCTTATAATGATATGCGGCATGTTATCAGTCCTGCCAACCTGTACGCATTTTGCGTACCAGGCACGCATTTTGACATCAAAGTACGCTGGTACGATTTGATGAAAGAATAAAAATAAGACAAAAAGATTTCGACCAATCAGAGTGCTGCATAATAGAGTTAGCTTCTATCTCTTAGCAGTTAGCTTCTGTCTGTAAACCGTTAGCTACAGTCTCTCAGCAGTTAGCTTCTGTCTGTTAGCAGTTAGCTCCTATTAGCTCCTCACTGTAAGCTTAGATCGGAGTTACCGTGTGTTCAGTCTGGTAAACGGTATCAGGCTGATAGCTGGCGCCTCTCCATTAAGACATAGAATGAAGCCATGGGTGAAATGAGATGATTCTAAATCCACTGCAACACTGTTGTCTAACTGTTCTGACAATAAAAGCGTTGGCTGTTTGAAGTCAGTGTTTCTCCTATATGCAACTTGCTGGAATATGACCACCGCTGCTGATTTTTTTTTTTTTTTCTTCATCTTAGCTCTTTAGAAACTACTGTTATATTATTTGGCGCTACGGACGCTTCATATCCAGGCCTATTGAACAGGTCTATACCTTGTCCTTTTATTAAACAAACTAAATAGCCTTGTGTTATTTATCTTATTTACGTGACGGTATGTCATTTCTGTCTCTACATGGACACATATGCGCGCGCACACACACACACACACACACATAGACACGTGCGCACACACACACACAGGTAAGCACACTAGAGTGCTGCATTTTCCTGACCGAACCCGACCCAAGTCCGAGACAGTCATAACCGAGCCCGGCCCAAACCAGCAGCACGGCACTAATGGAGCGGAGCCTGTGTTGCGTTCAGGCGTTGTCACATAAATAACATATTCCAGTCCTTGAATAGGCCATAGCACAACACAGCAGCCTGTCAAGTGGGCTGAACCCAAGCGAAACTTTTGATTTGTTATCCGACCCGACACATAACTCATAACCTTTCTTCAAGGTTGGCAGGTCTGTGTTATGTGTGGTGCAAACCACCCAAAATTGTACTGTGGCACCAGAGGAATGAATAATGAATCTGTCAACACACCTGTGCATTCTGTTCATAAAAATGAGCATATCTCAGCAACTAAATTATGTACATAGTTCAAATAACTTAAGGAGTGTTGGTCTTTTTGATCATCTGTCATCTTGAACATCTGTCACTGCCGTTCATCCTCTAGGTACCATGAATGTTTTTATAGCAATCCATCTAATAGCTGTAGAGACATTTCAGTCTCATACAAAGTGGTAGGCTCATCTAAGCATCATATAAATGAGAGAAACACAACGATTTCTGTGTTCAGATCTGCTCATGGACTATTGACACATGTACTGCATATCCAACCTATCTTTACAATCATGCAATAAAAGCAAAATGCCACGTCTTCAAAGAAACAACAACAAAAACAGCATCTGTGTTTTCAAGCCAGTGGAGTCAACTAGAAATAATCGGTGTCGAAATGAAAATGTCAACAGCTCAACAAGTCAAAGAGCAGAAAGTAGTGTATCTGGCACCTTGTACACCAGATGTGTGCTGATGAGTGCCAGCACAAAAACAGCAGCAGCAGCAGCAGCAGCCAAATGAATCAGCATCACTTGTTCCCTCCTCACCCAGGAGGAACACAGAGCCAAGTGGCTCAGCGCTCAGTGAGCGGCACACAGAAAAGTGTGTGATGAGCTGTGGATGTGTGTGTGTGTGTGTGTGTGTGTGTGTGTGTGGAGCCCAGTCATATAAGGCTCCAGAGGTACATGTTCATGACCACTGTGGTCAGAGAACAAGGTCACACTCCAAGAAGGATTTATTGGACAGGAAAATGTTTGAGAGAGAACCAGACCTTTGTTTGAACCAGGCTTGAATCAAAGAGAGGCCAACTGGGGGAGGTTGTGGCTCATTAAGTATTTGAATTTGAGAGTTGGTGGTTCGAATCCTGGCCCCTGCAGTCTTCAGTTTGAAGTGTGCTTTGGCATGATACTGAACCCCAAATGGCTGTGAGTGCATGTGAATGTTTATCTGATGACCAGGTGGCTGATGGAGAGGGTTGCCTGAAGTGTAAAGCTGTTTAAGTGGTTGGGAAGACCAGAAAAGTGTAACAGGTGAGTCTAAGACCCAAGAGCAGCATCGATGACTGGCAGGACAGTTTATAATAGACTTCAGTGCACCGCTTCAATAAACACAAAGTGAGCAAACTGATGAAACAACTGGGAGAGTCAGTGTTTGGGTTTGGAGCCTTCTGAGAAGCGGGTTCAGCCCAGGGCTCTTGGCATGGAATGAGTAACATTGCATGTTATAGTGGTCATGCCAGTTATTTTTGAGATGTAGACATTGCATACCACTGTTCTCTTCTTACTAGTGAATTACTACTAATAACTACTACTACTAAATACAAATGTAATGCACTGGCAGCAGACCTGATTATAGAAAACAAGTGTCACACACTCAATCTTGTTGATCTTGAGGAGGGTCTGGGGGCCCGAAATGTCATTATCAAAATTGGGGAAATGCATATGGGGCCAGACTGTGCGACTCTACTTAATACTGTCCTTGACAACATAATATAACCCCCCAAAAAGTTGGGACATTGTGTAAAATGTAAATAAAATCAGATTGCACTCGTACTCGTACTTGTACTCGTCATCCTCTGCTTATCTGGGTCCGGGTCGCAGGGGCAGCAGCCTCAGCAAAGAAGCCCAGACAGTCCTCTCCCCAGCCACTTCCGTCAGCTCTTCCGTGGGAACCCTGAGGTGTTCCCAGGCCAGCTTGGTGATGTAATCCCTCCAGCATGTCCTGGGGCGGCCCCGAGGTCTCCTCCCGGTTGGACATGCCCAAAACACCTCCCAAGGGAGGCATCCGGAAGGCATCCTTACCAGATGCCCATACCACCTCAACGGGCTCCTCTCGATGTGGAGGACCAGCAGCTCTACTCCGAGTCTCTCCCAGATGTCCGAGCTCCTCACCCTATCCCTAAGGCTGAGCCCAGCCACCCTGCGGAGGAAACTCATTTGGGCTGCTTGTACTCGCGATCTCGTTCTTTCGGTCACTACCCAGAGCTCATGACCATAGGTGAGGGTTGGAACGTAGATCGACCGGTAAATCAAGAGCTTCGCTTTTTGGCTAAGCTCCCTTTTCACCAGACCCGACCGGTTAAGTGCCTGCATCACTGCTGACGCCGCCCCAATCCGCCTGTCAATCTCCCGCTCCATCCTACCCTCACTCGTGAACAAGATCCCGAGATACTTAAACTCCTCCACCTGAGGAAGGACCTCCCCCCCGACCTGGAGTGGGCAATCCACCCTTTTCCGGCTGAGGACCATGGCCTCAGACTTGGAGGTGCTGATTCTCATCCCAGCCGCTTCACACTCTGCTGCAAACCGTCCCAGCAAGAGCTGGAGGTCACTGTTCGATGGAGCTAGGAGGACCACATCATCCGTAAAAAGCAGGGACGAGATCCTCCCGTCACCGAACCTGACACCCTCCACCACTCGGCTGCGCCTAGAAATTCTGTTCATGAAAGTTATGAACAGGACCGGTGACAAAGGGCAGCCCTGGCGGAGTCCAACCCTCACCGGGAACAGGTCCGACTTACTGCCAGCCACGGCAAACAGACTCACGCATCTTCGGTACAGGGACTGGATGGCCCTTAGCAAGGGGCCACCAACCCCATACTCCCAGAGCACTCCCCACAGGATGCCCCTGGGGACACGGTCGTAAGCCTTCTCAAAATCCACAAAATACATGTGGACTGGTTGGGCAAACTCCCATGCCCCCTTCAGCACCCTGGCGAGGGTAAAGAGCTGGTCCACGGTTCCGTGTCCGGGATGAAAACCACATTGCTCCTCCTCAATCTGAGGTTCAACTATCGACCGGACCCTCTTCTCCAGCACCCTGGAGTAGACCTTACCGGGTAGGCTGAGGAGTGTGATCCCCCTGTAGTTGGAACATACTCTCTGGTCCCCTTTCTTGAATATTGGGACCACCACCCCTGTTTGCCACTCCAGAGGCACTGCCCCCGATGTCCATGCAATGTTGCAGAGGGGTGTCAGCCAGGACAGGCCTACAACATCCAGAGCCTTGAGATATCCAGGGCGAATCTCATCCACCCCCGGGGCTCCGCCGTCTCGGAGTTGCTTCGCTACCTCAGCGACTTCTGCCCCAGAAATT